GGGTGGGGGGGGGATGGTTCTTTGAGAACAATTTAGTTTGTTTTTATTTTATAAGGTAAAGGTTTTATTAGATAAAGTACCAAGATGGTACGAAAGAGTCCATGAAAACAGAAAGATACATATATTGCTTCATGTTCCTTCCTAACAACTCCAAAAACTCCATATATTGCTCCATATTTTCCGGTATTCTACTCTCCATATGAGTGTGTATCATTCGCAATTAAGTGGGGGAACATACATAGGCTGTAGGCTATTTAACATTTCAGGATCAAACGAAGGAAAGATTTGTATTGAGAAGAGGGACAATTGGGCTCCCTGTACTCTCTCTCTAATAATGCTAGCATACTTCTCGTTTTGTGCATTCCACATTTTCTAAAGATAGACACATAAGACCATCTTTGAACAAATAAAATGTCAGATCTTAACATTACATCCGCTTTTGGACCCATCTCCATAAAATAAAATAATTTTTTTCCTTTTGCCGTAATGCCTAGGGAGATGGAGTATAAAATGTAGTATTCTTTGAGCATTTTGCAAGTAGACAGTTGAATTTCTTCTTGGGAAACTTGACATTTTGTGGGATGTTAGAAAGAGAAAGCTGGATATGAAAACTGCAATTCATCCATAATGGAGTACTAAATATTTTTCTGCTATTTGATTGATATGCATGAGAAACAAGGAAATCTGACTCGAAATCCAAGTTCTTTGGGGGATACAAGGTTTAGCTGATAAGTTCTTATTTTCCAGGCAACTTGGAGATCCATCTTATTTGTCGTGGAACCGAAACCCAGGAGGTCACTAGGAAAGCCGATGAAGGCTGGTTGGCTCGAGCACCTTACAGTCTGGGTGGGCACAGGTTGTGCATTGTAAGAACTATCTGTACAAGTTCTTTTTAAATTGTTTGCATGTGGAATTTAGACTCGTTTGCTAGCAGAGGATGGTATGTAATGAAGTATTTCTTTGATAACAGTAGTCAAATTTATCTCTAGTTTATTGGCTGAAAGCCTCTCTTTAAGAGTTCATTTAAACATGAAAGGTACTGTACTCTTTTCCTAAAAGACAGGCTCTACTTCTGAGGGTTGCCGTAAAGGAGCAAAATGAAAGACCAAAGCTTTTTTCTAATTGAGAGGCTAGAAAAGAATATTACTTCCTGATAGGTTCAGTTTTGGATTTTGTTGGAGTTCTAATAGTTTGGTTCAGAATGTTTCTTCGTACTTTGTGTTCGGAACCCTGTGTCCTCTGTCTCGTTATCTGGATAATTGAATTATTAGCTATCGAACTTTTGATAGACTTTGATACACTTGTGTTGCCTGTGTGTCGAATAAGTGGAGGTTTTTTCTTTTGGTCCCAAATTGAGAAGGTAAATTGGCTTTTTGACTTCTCAAATTTTTTTAAAAATTTTTTGGGTCAAACTTCTTTATGTGAAATACGCAGTTGGACTCCATATGACAGCCATGTTACTGTTAAGGGCAGGCTATATGGATTATTTAGGACGAAGTAGACCAAGGAGAAGCACATTCAAGCAAAAAAGAAACATAGTAATTATAATGGTGAGAAGGAAGTGCAAAAGAAAGTGCTTTTCTTTCCAGTCGGAAAAATAAAGTGCTAAAAAAGAGGCAATTCAAACAAGCTACACATACTCCTCTCGACTCAGTTTTATAAAATTTTCTATTTACTTTAAATCTCTACATTTTCATTCCCTTGGGCGTAACTGTCTTATAATTAGAAATTTAGAATGTTACAGACTGGAAAGTCAGTTTGATCACCCCTATTTCACCTCTAGAGAGCTTGTCTCTTGCTCAACAACCAAGTCAACTACGGAAATTGCGTCAGTCAGGAGTCGTGTCAGTCAGGAGTAGCGACCGTCAACAGGTAATACAGGACTAATAATACTTATCCGAAATAGGGAAAAAGAAAAAGAACCTCAAAACGAAAAAAAATGGCATTTTAATTTCTTTGGCACCTTACACCTTGAACTTGCTCTATTCCTGAAAGGAATCCATTAGTAAACAAGGGGTTCATTCGATATACAAAAAGATCTACAACACTCTAAGCAAGATATTCGTGAGATATGCTCCCTCTGGATAGGCAGGATCAATTGGATGATCACATGCTGCTCCTGCCTGACGTACAACAGTGATTTTCCTCCCAGCCATTGATGCAGCACCCTAAGTGCAAGCAAATCACAAAGCACATCAATCAAACTATGTTTCTGAAGGACCAGATCAAGATATTTATGCTCGGAATAAGACCCAAATTAAAATTGACAAGTTCTCTTTTGAAAAGAGGCTGCATTAAAATACCACAAAGAATAGATCCTGTTGCTGAATAAACGTTTCACTTAGTGGACTAATGTCTTTAACTATATGTATGTGTGCCTATGTAGTACTGCTATTTTGCCTGAAATGTGCTCATGCAGGCACAACATGCACAATAAGTGAGGATGCTTCATTCAGTGACATGGTTATCAGTATTGTAATGGTCATCATCAAAGAAAAGAGAGGAGAAACAAGCTTCTGTCTATCCACATAGCTATATAAAGAGTATCGAGTTACTAATTGTCCTTGACCAGAGACATTGTAAAACCACATAGGAGCAGAGCAAGAATTGACAAAGTTAAAATGGACTAACTAAGCCTACCTTACAAAAGAAAAAAAACTAAAGCCTACTTTATACATTATATCATGGTGTTCCATTAGATAACATCGTCTTTTAACAAACCTGTTAATCAAACATCAAGTTTCAGGGCATCAAATGGATTTTGGGTGCTAAAACTATGCAGGATGTGGAAAACAAATGCAACTCACAAAGTGGCTTTTTTCACTTGGTACCCGAGAAGCTTGTTTAACACAGCGGAAAGTGGATTGGCAACAGGTCGGCACGAAGTGATTCATCATGCTCAAACATGAGCCGATCGCTCGTTAGAGACGGTTTATAGATCATCAAATTCCCACAAATGGAATGAAAAGTGGATCCATGTAAAAATCTCTAAAAAAAGAAGATTTCTGTTGATGTAATCTATGTGGAGACAAGGCTAAGAGTATCAAACATTTATTTTGCACTATCATCTTATGGACCAGCTATGGCAACTCTTTCTGAATATGGTACTAAAACGGAGCAAACGAGGGTGTACTCGTGAGCTACTGAAATATTGGAGCATCAGAGGCAAGAATTCCAATCAAAGGAAATGCTAGCAAACCGTTCCCGCTTGCATATGGTGGACAGGTTGGAGGGAGTGAAACACTAGGTTATTTGAAGATAAAGGAAACTCTTTTTAGAAGATCAAGTTGACCAGGAGCGGATCTAGAGTGTTTGTTATCGGTTCACATGAACCCAGTAACTTTTGCTCAGACCATGTATATATATTAATCCACTAATTATATATAAGTATTTGATTGTGATTCGTAGTTATTGTTGTAATATTGACTTGAAGTTGCTATAGGAATCCAGAAACTTCAAATTCTAGATCCCCTTTGAAGATGAACTGTTTACTTTTATTTCATTTTTGGTGTAAATAACAACAAACCCAATATAGCCCCACAAGTGGGATATGAGGAAGGTAGATAGTACGCAAACCTTACCCCTGCAGTGAATGTAGAGAGGTTGTTTCCAGTAGATCCTCTGCATGCAGAAAATGAGGAAAAGACCAGTAGCAACAAGCAATAACGAGAACAAGATAAAGGAAACAAGGTGAAAGGAACATGTAGTGATAGAAATCTACAATATTAGAATACAAGCCTACAACTAATAACATGGAAATGTCCGGAAAAAAACACAACTACGTACTAACCTACAACATTAATCTTCGAACTCCACACCTTCCTATTAAGGGTCATGTCCTCGGTCAGCTGAAGCAAAGCCATATCTTGCCTAATCACCTCTCCCCATTACTTTTTTGGCCTACCTCTACCTCTTTTAAGACCCACCAAGAACAACCTCTCACACATCCTCATCGGGGCATTTGTACTTTTCCTCTTCAAATGCCCAAACGATCTAAGTCTCGCTTCCTGCATTTTATCCTCCATGGGGGCCACTCCTACTTTGGCCCGAATATCCTCAATCTTAATCTTATCAATCCTGGTATGCCCGCACATCCATCTCAACATCCTCATTTTTACTACTTCCATTTTTCGGACATGAGAATTCTTGACTGGCCAACACCCAGTCACGTACAACATAGTCCGTCTAACTACCGCTTTGTAGAACTTACCTTCTAAGTTCAGGAGGCACATTCTTATCACATAAGACACCGGATGCGAGCCTCCATTTCACCCACCCGCACCAATACGATGTGTAACATCCTCGTTAATCTTTCCATTACCTTGGATTATAGACCCCAAGTACTTGAAACTATCTTTCTAGGGGATGAGTTGTGTATCAAGCATCACACTCCGTCCACTTCACTGGTCCCGTCACTGAACTAACACTTCAAGTATTTTGTCTTGATCCTACTCAACTTGAAACCTTTAGACTCTAATGTTTGTCTCCATACAAATAATCTCGCGTTAACACCACTTCGCATCTTGTCAATCAGTACAATATCATCTGCAAATAATATACATCATGGCACATCCCCTCCCCTTGAATGTGACACATCACTGTATCCAACGCCAAAGCAACTAAAAATGGGCTAAGAGATGACCCCTGATGCAACCCCATCATAACTGTCAAGAGGTCAGAGTCCCCTCTCACTGTCCTCACCCAAGTTTTAGCTCCTTCATACATGTTCTTAATCACCCTAGTATACGCTACATGAACACCTCTAGCCTCCAAACATCTCCATAGAATCTCCCTTGGGGCTTTGTTGTATGCTTTCTCTAGATCAATGAACACCATGTGCAAGTCCCTCTTCCTCTCCCTATACTGTTCCACCAACTGCCTTACATGATTAATGGCTTCCGTAGTCAAACGACCCGACATGAATCCGAACTAGTTTTCGGAAATAGACACTCTTCCTCACCTTTGCTTCCGCCACCCTCTTCCAAACTTTCATAGTGTGGCTTAACAGCTTGATACCCTATAGTTGTTGCAATTTTGGATATCACCCTTGTTTTTATATAATAGAATTATCGTATTCCACCTCCATCCTTCGGGCATCTCTGTCGTCCTAAAAATGATGTTAAACAATCCAGTGAGTCATTCCAAGCCTGCTCTGCTCACGGTCTTCCAAAATTTCACTAGAATTTCGTTTAGCCCAGGTCATTCTCCCCTTACTCATCTTATGCATAGCCTCATCGACCTCCTCAATTTTATACGCCTATAATAACCAAAATCTCAACGGCTCTCGGAGTGCTCCATATCACCCAACACGATGTCACTATCTCCCTTTTCATTTAGGAGTTTATGGAAGTTAGTCTGCCACTTACGCCTGATATGTGCCTCTTTCATCAATACTCTGCCATACTCATCTTTAATTCACTTCACTTGGTCCAGGTCACGAGCCTTTCTTTCTCTCATCTTGGCTAGCTTGTACAACTTCTTGTCCCCGCCTCTGTCCCTAAGTTCCTCATACAAACGTCCAAACGCTGCAGTCTTAGCCACCATAACCGCTAGCTCTGCCTCCTTCTTGGTCTTCTTGTACCACTCCCTATTCGTCCTCTTCTCCTCCTCGTCCTTGCTCTCCACCAACTTCAGATATGCAGTTTTCTTGGCTTCTACTCTTTTTGGACCTCTCTATTCCACCACCAGTCCCCCGTGCCCACCAGAGTAGCCCTTCGAGACTCGTAGCACCTCTCTAGCCGCTTCCCTGATGCAATTCGCAGTCGAGGTCCACATACTACTCGCGTCCCCTCTATTCCTCCAGACCTACATAGCAACCAACTTCTCCCCTAACTACCGAGCTTTGTCCTAAGTCATGGCTCTCCACTTGATCTTAGGTTGACCATACACAACCCTCTTCTTCCTTTACCTCATGATCTCCAAGTCCATCACCAAGCGCCTATGTTGGGTCGAGAGATTCTCACTTGGAATAACCTTGCAATCCAAGCAAAGACTTCTATCACACTTCCTAAAGAGTAAGTAATCAATTTGTGTCTTGGCCACCGCACTCTTAAAGGTTACCAAGTGTTCTTCTCTCTTCTTAAAACTCGAGTTAGCTATTGCCAAGTCAAAAGCTTTAGCGGAGTTCCACCTCCGTTTCTATCCCCAAAACCAAAGCCGCCATGCACATCGTGAGAAAACTCACGAGTAGGAAAGGATATTTTGTTGGCATCTTGTAAATATTTTTACAGCACCTCCTTGGTGCCATGCTAATAATACACTTACCATTTGTCAAAAAAAAGTATGCAGTACAGAGCAGTCATTAAGTTTGGGTTTCCCTTTTTCTTGTAGGATTGGTACTAGAACTAGAGGCGGATTTAGGATTTTCTCTTGATATGTTCGACCTTTAAGATTCTTAACACTGAACTCATTGTACTTTTAAAATTCTGGGTTCAGATCTAACATTTGTTAAAATTTTAGTGGATATTCACACATAAATATGTACTCCGCATCAAAATACTAGGTCCAAAAGGGCCCAGTAGTAAAGTACGAAATCCGCCCCTGAAAAAGAACCACAGTCATTCTTCCGCAAATAAAAAAAATTGCAAATATTAGGGAAGAACAATTTCCAAAACCTTTTTTCAGAACAAGTTGCTCAAACACAAAATTCTTTCTACAGAAAACTTTTTCATAATATCGGCAAATATTCCAACGGTGTTTGATATATCTTTTTACTAGTCCTTGAACAAAATAATCTAACTTGCCTGAAGAATGCGCAAGAACAGTCCACTTTGGGTCATAGCTCCAGAACATGAGCAGGTCATTAGGAGACCACCTCTTTTTGTCAACTGCATGGCCAAATAGTTCAAATTCCTATACATGCCAGACGCACTCTTTAAGACCTGTATGAAGTAACAAACAAATGAAAAATGACTACAAAATGAAAGAGCTCTGAAACAAATAACACGATGTCATAGAAAAGCTTTTTCCTTCCAATTAGTTGAAATGACTAAGATGGAATAAAAGTGATGAAACAAAGACGACAGAGGGCAAATATGACTTATCCTCACAAATGAGGAAGTTAGTAACCAGGATTGCTATTCCAAGCATATTCAAAAAGAACAGATGCTCTATGGCATCCTCCTCCTCTCACCATCCCATGGGATAAAACAGATGTTCTATAGCATCATCCTCCGCTCGCCATCTCATTGGGAATTTTTCCACATAGTTTCTTGGGAAGTGACTTTCTATCAGAAATATTCTAGAAGCAACATTCTTCAAATCAGAAATATTCTCGAGCTTAGTTGATCACCATTTTCTATCAGAAATAATCTAGAAGCAACATTCTTCAAATCCACTAGCCATGTGATTCAACAACCAATACTTGAGATACCACATCAGTAAATCACTTTCCACCAAATGCATCACATAATAATTCATTTACCAGAACTCAGAAATCGAGCAATGCCTACACTCCACACAGCAAATGCGAATCTTTTTATATTCAGAACAAAGTAAAGTTCATCACCAAGACATCAACACTGAAGTCCACATACAAAACATTTCAATTACCTTTTTCCGAGGCGCCAATTTAGGAGGATCCAATATAACTATATCCCACGATTCGTTTCTAGAAACAGCAGCCTTCATGAACTCAGTTGCATCTTCTCGCAGAAAAGATATCCTTTGGGAATCCAGGCCATTTAATGCAACATTTTCTTTGGCAAGTTCCAATGCAGGCGAAGATGAATCAACACCTTCAAAACACTGAGTGTTTACTACACTAGAAAACCAGAAGCAAACTTATAAAGTAGTTCCAAGATATAAAAAATAGCACGTCGGATTAACTAGGAAAGTGTTCTGATACACCCCGAGGAATAAGATAAATATTGCTCGCATTCTTGAATGACTCCACAAACTTACCGACTTGAACTACAACTGTGAGAATCTATCGTTCTTACTTTCAATGACGATGAGAATGCGAAGAATGATATTTGCTTAATGTGAAGTGCAAAGAATGAAGCAAGTGCATAGCACGCATAAGAGCGAGGCGGTGGGGAAGCGAGAAGCAAATGGTTTTTTCAATTCTATTATCTCAGTATTAGTTATTATTGGGCGTATTATCCTCCTGCATGTGACTAATTCAATATCAGAGAGAAAAAAGAAAACAAAGAAAATAGCAAATGGAACAAGCCAATGTCTTTCTCTGCCTCTTTATTGCACTCTAGTTATATACCTTTCTCTCACCACCTGTAACTACAGATATGCTCCAATTGTGTCTTCTGCAGTGTTCTTCTCTGCACCATTTATCAACATGTAATGATGTCAATTTGCTAGAGGCACGTGAGCTGGTTGAATGTCACATGGGCAATGCTTGGCACATCATCTCTCTGTTATCAATATAAACAAGAGAGGAAATATGAATGAAGGCAGTGAAGAATCATTACAGAAATATCATTCTCTCAATCTACTCTGTTCTTCTTCTCAACTTTCCTTTCTGCTCCTTCACTATCTGTCTATTTCTCTCTCTATCTCTTAATACTATAGCTCTTCCTCTCTCTTCCCTATTCTTCTTCTAAAGACTGTTAAATCATATGAAAGTTCATCATTGTTGAGGTTTCAGCCTTGACTTAGTTTGTTGGTTCAGATTAGCATTTTAGACCTGTTAAGAATATAATTAACTAAATAAAAGTGTGTTCTCTCTAACAACTCAAGATTTGAGATGAGATGGCCGGACCTTCAACATGGTACTTAGGCAGGCAAACATCTTAAGCTCGAGTCTCACCGCCACCCATTATCAAAAAGAAAATCTCCATGTGCTTGGCCCATGAAAAAGAATCAAGCTTGCACGTGATGGGGCGTGTTTAAAATATAATTAAGTAAATCAAATGTTCTCTCTAATAGCTTAAGCTTTTAGATGAGATGGACACATACTTAGTAAGATCCACTTTCTTGTAATTCGCACTTCATTTCATTGAGAACTACTGTAGTTCTACTTTGAGTTGAAATCAATGGAATACCCTTTTGATTATGTAATGATCCTTGAGGTTAGACTGTTACAAAATAGTACCAGAGCCTTTTTCATGGCACAGCTCTGATTAACGACCATGGCGGAAGAATATGGAGTTGAAGCTCAATTTCGCACCTACATCAGAGTGATGAATAAATTGACATCAAATCAGGCAGCACAAGGAGTGATAAACGAGCATGGGCTACAATGAATGAATATGCAATGCCAAGGATTTAGGACCTAGGACCAGATGAAGAGGTTGCTATAATTTATGAGGGTCCCAAAAAAGCTTACCTTATGTTACAGAAAAGCTTGAGAAAGGGGCACCCCTATGCTTATGATTATTGATTCTAAGGTGAAGAAGGTAGAGGGTGAGGCAACACGAAGGAGCCTAACTCTAATCAAGTGTTTGATCGGGTTCCTCACTTAAACCTGTTCTCTTTGGATGTGATATATTTGGTTGGCTAGAATATGCAGTCAAATGGTATGAAATGGCACCAGTTTCAATTGAGCTAGCATTGGTGGAGTTGTCAGGGAGATTCTGTACTTTTGAGAGGTCTGAGAGATGTCCAGTCTATTGATTTGGGGATTTTGCTCTCTTCCAATGAAATTAATTGAGATGTTCAAAATCCTATTATTCGGGGTCGGGCAACTCATGGACATGGTGATAAAGATTAAAGCTCTAAAGTGTTCTACAGATATGAAACTGGCTGGAACCAAACCCAATGGAGTTTCTTCCTTGTTGTTTTAACTGAAAGCTCTCATGCCGGACAGGTGGATCAGGGTTTTCAGATAGCAAGCGCGAGTATTCGATTGAGCCCACTATGAAACATTATGCTGTAGTCGATTGGACGAGGCTTTTAAATTTATTGAAAGCACGCCCTTGGAGTCAGATTGTGATCTGGGATGCAGTATTCTCTACTTGCAGAGCTCACAAGAACCTTGAAATAGCAAAAGTTGCATCAGAGAAGCAGCTCCTGCAGCTTGAATTATAGCATGCTAGAGGCTATGTCATTGTGTCTAATGCTTATGCAAGAGCAGAGAGGTGGGATGATGTAGAAAGAGTTAGAAGTTCAATGAAGAACAAAAATGTTGAAAAGGCAATGGAGTTCAATGGAGGTGAGCAGAGAGGTGGGATGATGTAGAAAGAGTTAGAAGTTCAATGAAGAACAAAAATGTTGAAAAGGCAATGGAGTTCAATGGAGGTGAGCAGAGAGGTGGGATGATGTAAAAAGAGTTAGAAGTTCAATGAAGAACAAAAATGTTGAAAAGGCAATGGAGTTCAATGGAGGTGAGCAGAGAGGTGGGATGATGTAAAAAGAGTTAGAAGTTCAATGAAGAACAAAAATGTTGAAAAGGCAATGGAGTTCAATGAAGGTGGATGGTTTACTGCATTCATAACTTGCTGGTGATAATGCTCATACAACTAAGCAGGAGATATACTTGAAATTGTAAGAAATATTAGAGAAGCTAAACAACAACATTACAAGCCAGAAACTAGTTGGTATGCAATTCAACCTGAAGACCTATTGATATTGTGGGATGAAATATTTGCCTGTGACAACAGGAAGTTGGAGAAACCTTCGGAAAATGATGCCGGGTATGATTTATTTACAATAATGTTAAGCTGGTTCGGCATGTCAGAGCATCATACAGAGAAATCCATTTTGAACTCAAGGATATGGTCTGACTCATTTTCTAACAACCTTGAGGACAAGGTTAAATTCAAAGGGAAGGGAATGTAATGACCTCAATTTGTTAGAGGCATGTGAACTGGTCGAATGTCACATGGGCAACGGCTTGGCACATCATCTCTTTGTTGTCAATATAAATAAAGGGGAAATGAGAATGAAGGTAGTGAAGAATCGACACAGAAATCTCCTTCTCTCTATCTGTTGTTCTCTTCTGAACCCTCCTTTCTGCTTCTCCCCTACCTCTCTAGCTCTTATCTCTATCATTTTTCCTCTCTTTCTTACTCTTCTCCTTCTAAAGTCTGTTAAATCACTGCCAAAGATCATCGTTGTTGAGGTTACAGCCTCGACTTAGTTTGTTGGTTTGATTAGCATATTACATCCAATATCTTGTAACTTCGCGCTTCATTTTTGTTGAGAACTACTGATATTCTACTTTGAGTTGAAATCAACGGAATACTCTTTTGCTTATGTAATGATCCTTGAGGTAAGGATTGTTACAAAACAGTACATCCATACTTCATCTTTCTTTTTGATTGATATTGAAAGGTGACTATCAAAATCAGTTGCTGGAAAATGACTTTCTGACATGGACATGGCTTCTAGAAATTACAGTAAGATGTTTTATCAAGAAAGAAATTACAATAAGATGCTGCGATTGACGTTGCTGTCTGCTAACAAGGAAAATGATAAAGGCTTCTCCACCTATCTGTTTGGGTTCTCTTTTTTGATTCAGTATGTTTAAAAGAGCAAGTCGATATCATAAGCACAATTTCTTCAATTCTCCACTATCCTTCTTAAGCTTTCATAAATATTTAAGGACCAATTACCTCCAGCTTCACAGAAGGAGAAGGAATGGCATGGGCTCCAGCATCATCAAAGTGATTAGGTTATATACTTATATCAAGGATTATTGGGATTTGGAATGCCTTATAGTACTAAAGACACCATGGATTCAGAAATAGAAGGATAGCTGGAATCCTTGAAGAAAGAGAGAATGAATCACCGCCTGATGTTTCAGTTGGGGAAATATGGAGGTGAATAGTTTGAAGAGATCGAGAGTGGAATAAGAGAGAATTCAAAATCGAAGAGAAGGCAAAGAACCAAGGGAGTGAAGAGGACAAACAATGAATGCAAAACCTTCCGATTTGTTCGAACCTAACACTAAATTACGAGGAAGGAGGTTACCTCCCTATGGGATTGGTGGTAGGACATTGATCAACAAATATGTTGCATGGGATTGAGCTCTGAAGCATTTGCCTAGAAACAGGAAAATGGCTAAAAAAGCATATAATGAAGACAACCTAATAAAAGAACTCTACATCAAAATCACAAAACATAGTAACTCATAGCCTTTTTGGCATTTCAAGTTTTATTTATGATTACTTCTAATAATTATCATATAATATGTCATTATCATTTTACTTAGTTATCTAGGAAAAGATCAGGTATTACAATTTTTTATTTTCTATGTTAAAGCATGAACTGCGAGCAATGAACAAGAAACAAAAAGAGAAAGAAGCTATCGATATGTTAGTCAGAAGAAGATATATCGGTTGTATATTATTGTTATCTTACATTTTTATTTTCATTAAACACTATAATCTTGTATCTTTTTTACTCCAACTTGCTTGGAATTGAGGTGTAGTAGTTGTTGATGTTGTTGCTGTCATCTAACTGCATGAGTTACACATGCAAAATAGTAACTTACATTTGCAGATAAAAATTGACAAGACAATGAAAGTAATTAATACCGATAACATCCAAAGCACCACCAGATGCTGCATTTAGAGCAAAACCTCCAGTGTAGCAACATATGTCAAGAACTCTACGACCCTCTGAAATGGTAGATAAGAAGCAACGGTTTTCACGTTGATCTGCATAAAACCCTGTCTTTTGCCCATCCAAGGATATCCAATATGAAATTCCATTCTCCATAACCTCAACCAGAAAAAAATTAAACCATGTTAACAAATCTTTCAGGCTTTCAGCAGCGTAGATTAATACTTAACAGGAAAGTTCATACAACAGCTGAAAAAGTATATCCACATCGCACACCATGGCTTAAACCTTTAGCATACAGTGTTCTTTTTTTCCAGTCATCTTTTTTCCAATGCAAGCATAGCATGTTAAATGCAGATATAGAACAAGTCATAGAGTAGTTGCCAAACTATTGCAGAAGTTGTGATTTGGTCAGTTCTAATAATGTGTGTAACACTAGCTAATATAAATTTGCTTCAAAATGCACTCTGACGCAGCTGCCAATGCAATTGAATCGAATTTCTGGAAACATTTGGATAGGTATATTGCATTTTAAAAGGGTGAGATCTGGGAAAGCAAATATAAGATATTAAACTTTGATACAAAATAGAAAAAAGGAAGTAAAATCCTCCCATCTTGCCTTTGCTCCTCTCCTCCTTTTCCTTTCCCGCTGCACAACTTGTGTTAGAGCCTATATCTTAAGAGAAGATACTCTCTCTATCCCAACTTCAGAGAAAGAGGTGCAAAATGAACCTGGAAAAGGGTACTTGAGTGAAAGTAATCTATACAAGTCCAAACTTTGGTATCTTTGTCAGTACCTAGACTGAACGTTGAATAAAAGATTTGATACCATTAGCAAAAAGAAGGGGTAGATGACAAAACAAATGAGAGAGTCAACCAAGACTTGGAATAATGGAGAAGCACTCTATAGAGCAAAGGTTTAAGGATAAGTAAAACCAAGATCCAAATAAATGCATTTCAAGTTTATCTCCCACAAGAGAATAGAGGTGAAATAAGATTAGACGGAATTGGGGTGTCTAAATGCAGACAATTTCAGAAATCTAGACTCATTCTTTCAAGAGAATGACATGATAAATGAAATAAACACGGGGATTAAAATAGGATGACTGAAATGAAATAGTGCTATGAAGATACAATGTGATAGGAAGATACCTAACAAAAAGAGCAAGTTATATAGAACAGTTTTGGAACCAGCATAATTATATGTGAGTGATTGTTGGGCCTTAGATGGAGGAGAGTCGTGGCAGTATTATGTGATAAAGATACCCAATAAAGTGAAAAACAAGTTCTACATGAAGGTTGTGAAACCAGCAATGTGAAATGTGAGTGAATATTTTGCTGCTAAGGAGCAACATATCCACAAGATGAGTGTAGTAAAAATTAGATGTTAAGATGGATATGGGGTCATACAATATTGAACAAGACCAAAAATGATCACATTCAAGAAAGGGTGCAAGTTGCACACATAGAGGAGACGATGCGAGAAAGTCATATGAGCTCTAAAACCCCAACAATCTCTGGAAAAAAAATATTACAACTTTGGGAAAAAAAAAGAGACCTACGAGCTCCTAAATTAACACGGACTTAGCTAAAGACATAAAAAATGGAAGCAAAGGATTTAGATGCATGATACCAGGCAGTTGAAAATAAGGTTCAGCTTTTCTTGTCCGTATGAGCGATACCAATCAGTTAGATTAAGGTATTAGTTATTATTGCTACACTAACATTTTTTAACAAAGTAAATATCATTAGTGTTTGGGCAAACAAGTAAAAAACTTACAAAAACATATGGTTTTCTAAGAATGATACACTGTCTTCTATACAACAAAGGACCTCATGAGTGCACCAACAAGAAAGAAGGAATAAGAGGCTACTCGCCTAATCTTCAAATGTACAAATTTCAACCCTAAACCTTTGAAAGCTCTCTCATTTATTTCTCTCCAAACAAACCTATATAAGTACTAGTAGAGCAACGTCTACCACAATTCTAGCTAAAGATTACCTCTTTCACAATGGATGGCATCACCCAAAGATTTCCAGCTAGTTCAAGGTCTCCCACCATATCCTCGTAGCAGCTCGAGAACGTAGAAGGTGATGGTCGACGTTTTCACCCGAATCCTTAGACATAAAGCACCAATTGACATACATGACCTACCTTTTCTTCAGATTTTCGGCCATCAAGATCACCCCTCCTGCTGCAAGCCAAGTGGAAAAAAACACACCTTTTTCAGAACCTCACGGATCCAAATCGAGCTATATCGGAAGGCAACCACCTCCCTAATCAAAGCTTCTCATAGAGTGACCTGACAGAAATGGTGGTAATGGCAATGCGTTCCCTCGTCCGATGTCGAGCCTAGGCTCTGATACCAACTGTTACGCGGCGCCTTCCTGAGATTCCTTGGAAGGGCGACGTAAGGCTAAGCAACTGATGTCAGTGCAGCTACTGTCCGCCAACTGAAGTCCCCTCCGTACGCTAGACTAGATTGTCAGTGTCGTACGGGAAAACCAATGTCAAGAGCAATTGAGAGAATAGAAATGAGAATTGAGAATGAAAGAAAGCTTGATTGCATTAATGAAAGCTATTACAGAAAGGCAACGCGGTGTCGAGGGGGAGAGATACCAGTACAGAAAATTATTTGCTTGCTAGAAAGTTTGATTGCTTGATCCCCCTAATAATACTTAAAAAAAATAAACCAAAGCTACAAGACTAGACTTGATTAAGCTAGAGAAACATAATGGAAGTACATGGAATAAAACTACTCTATATTTACAATAAAAAAGACTTAGTTTTCTACAAGGCAGAAACAGGTCCATTGTCAGCAACAGTCTTTGGCATCAGGGTCTGCGCGCGCGGCGCTGTTGGCATCCGCCTGCAGTTGGGCGCTGGCGAGGGATATCGGTGGGGCGACAAAGGCACATGCGCGCTTGTCACTTGGCGCGGCCAAGACCACGGGGCCGTCTGTGGCGCTAGGCATTGGGAGGCTTGCTAGGACGCCACGGGGCGCGCCCAAGAGGTCATGGGGCACGGCTGGAAAGCCGCCCATGACATTCTCCCCAACCTGAATTGGCGACGTCCTCGGCGCCTTACTTGCAAGATAATCTTCAATTAGGCTCTTGTAGGCTTTGA